AGTATGGCACTTTAAAGCATTTCCCCAAACTATAATACCGTACCTAAAATGACTTTCTGCAAGAGCATAGTAGAGTGTTATTAGCTGCTTTTCTGGAAGGTATTTTTTTAAATATTTGAATTTGTACAGAATGCTTTGAAGTTTTTTAATAGTATAGTGGAATTCCCATTTCAAATGACTATATACATATATTCCAAGATACTTAATTTCGGATACCTGCTGAAGCACATAGGGGTGTCCATTATATTGTACATCAAGTTGATTAAATGGAGGAAGACCTCTAATATTGCAGTTAAATGGTAAGTATTTAGTTTTTTCTAGATTTAAAGTGAGAGACATATTATCAAACCAACCTTTTATGTTAATGAAATCTTTTTCTACTATATTTTTAAGTTCATTCCAATTTTCAGCATTATAAAAAATTGCAGTATCACCTGCAAAATCTAAAACATTACCTCTCTTTCGATGAAAAACAGATCATTGATGTATATATTGAACAGTGTGGGTCCTAAGACACTGCTCCGTACTCAGTTATCTGTCGACTACTAGTTTCCCCATTTACTCTTACAGTCTGGTATCTATTGGTTAGGTAGCTTTTAAATAAAGATAAACAATTTGCTCTTATTCCTATGCAAGTGGTGATCAACGGTATTAAACGCCTTACAAAGATCTAGAAATAGACATAAACATGGTTGATTTTGCTCCAGACTTGCTAATAAGGCATCATCTGTATAATTTTTCTTCTTTGAAACCAAACTGCATAGGTGATAAAATTTCGTATTCGTTTAAAAAAGAATTAAGTCTATTTTTTATTAGCGACTCAAAATTTTTGATAAGTGAGTCAATAGAGAAATTGGTCTGTAATTACTAAATATCACCTTTCTTAAAGATAGGTACCTACTACGATAGAGGTTTTGAAGGATGTTGGAAAAATAGCTTATTTAATGAAATTATTTAGTATATATGTAAACGGATTTCCTATATAAGATGTTACAACTTTTAAAGCTTTTGCACAAATATCATCACAACCCGGAGACTATTATTTTTTAAGCCTTTAATCAGATTTAAAACTACAATTTCATTTGTTTCTAGGAACACCATTGAATTATTTTGTGTAGTTTTAGTAAACTTATGAGAATTATCATTTACAATTTTTTTGCCAAATTCTTTCTCACTTTAGCAAACTGTACATTAAATTCACTGCAGATGTCGTTAACATTTTATAACATTTCATCACCTTCATTTTTATTTTTTTCAATTTTAGTTTGGAATTTTGTATTCCCACTCAGACTTTGGACAATGCGCCATAGTTCGCTAGAACTGCTTTTATTCAAATCAATTTGTTTTTTTAAAATAGTTAAATTTAGTGGATTGAATTTTATTTGTTAATGCGTTTCGATAACTCTTATACTCATTTTTTAATTGCAAATTATTTGGTGTTTTCTGTAATTGTTTATTTATTTTGTTTTTTTTATTTATCATATCTAGTAGCGAACTTGTGACCCATGGTGCAATTGTTTCAGTTTTTCTATTAAATTTTCTAAAAATAGTACTTTTTTGTATAATATTGGATAGTATATTTACAAGTTTATTCATTATAGATTCTGGATCATCCGGTTTCGAGGAGATCAGATCCTCATCATCAGGTATGGTCTAAAATAGATAGGTAAAAACGAATGAGCTCATAACTAATAAAGTGGGTTTAAAAAATTATGAAAGTTGTCAAATATCAAGAACTCACCCGTATTACTCATCTATTTAAGACTAAGCTTAGAGAATATTACAGGATCGGTGTAAAAAAACAAGTATGCGAGTATTTTTTAAGAAATGCATCAAAACAGTAGTTGCAACAAAAAGTTGATGTCAAAACACAAGTAGGTCTAAAACTATTAATTAAAATTATTAAAATATTTTACGAACGGACAGACATTAAGACAAAACCAATTTAAAACTTTTTTAAACCCTACAAGAACTAAAATGGGCTCTTAGACAACATGAAGTGTTTATAATTCTAAAGGTATAATTTTTTATTTTAGATTAAAGATACTAATTAACGCCCTCTAGATATAAATAGACGAATTAACAATTCTAATATTTAAGAAAAACAGTTTAGAGGTTGTCAAATTTAAATATTTTGACATCGGCTAATAGATGGCGTTGGCGAAATAAATGTTTCTTAATTAATAATATAGGTTTTAAAATGAATTATTTGAATTTGTATGTAATAATAAACAAAATAAAATAAATTAATTATTATTGTTACACGTAGAGTCTAGCATTAGCGTCGGAAAATAATTTTTAGATGTACTTAATGTTCAAATTAAGAAGTTGGTAACATATCAACGGAAAAAGAAAGGAAAGTGGTATTAAGGAAAGAAAGAAAGAGAAAACGAAAAAAAGAGAAAACTATTGATTTGGTTGGTTGTTTTTTGAAGTAATGTTAATGTGCTGAAAAATGAAAATGGAAAATGGAGACAGAGTAAAAATAGGGAATAGATAAGATAAGTATAACTAATAATTAAAGTCAATAGAATTTCATAAGGGAGATTTTAAAGTAAAAGGGGGGTAATTTAAGGGAAAACGTAGATTTTTAAAAAAGAACTGAGAACGTGGATGTGGATTCGGAAAAGACTTGTGAGTTTAGTGATAATGCATTGGTACTTTTTCTTAATCTAAATATTTCTAGGTTCTCCAAATTATTCAAAATCAACTTGTTGTGGCAAATGTGGAGTACCCTAAAGCCATCCCCTGAGTCAAAATTGTGATTGGACTCTACTATATGGGTGGCCAAATGTGAGAAGCCGGTTGTGGCAGTATTCAAACATCTTAAATGTTCTTTAAGTCTAGTCCTAAAATTACGAAAGGTTCTACCTACATATTTGGCTGGGCAAGACTTACAACTGAGTTCATGTATGCCTGGTTGATCCATGATGTCCACTTTATCTTTATTCTTGATAAAAAAGTTACTAATTGAGTTGGAGGATTTAAAAGAAATTTTGAAGTGATTTTTGAGGATATTGGAGACTTTATAAGAAATATTTTCAATATAGGTAAGTGACATATACTTGCTAATGCTAGCCTCTACAGGTATAGGGTTAGTTATAAATGTTGTATTTTGAATAATTCTATTTTGTTTTTTTCTCAACATTTTATCGATTATACTGTGATCATAATTGTGTAGATGAGCTATGTTTTTTATTGTGTTAAGTTCTCTATTGTAGTTTTCAATGGATAAAGGTACTTGTAATAGACGTTCTAAATAACAAATGAAGAAAGCTAATTTATGCGAGATGGGGTGATTAGACAAATTATCTATTACTACTCCTGTTTGAGTGGGTTTTCTATAGATATCAAAACTTAATTTAGAGTCATTGTCATGGGATATTTTTAAATCTAAAAAGTTTATATATTTATCTACTTTGGTTTCTAAAGTAAACTTAATGTTGGTATGTAGAGTGTTAACATGAGACAAGAAATCATTCAATTAGTCTTTGTTACCAGTCCATAGTATTAAAATATCATCCACATATCTATAGTAAAATTTGATTGATTGGAAAAAATTATTGTTATCTAAGATATTGTCTTTTTCAAAGTTATGCATAAATATGTCTGCCAATATGGGACTCAAAGGGGAACCCATAGCTAAACCAGTTTTTTGTGAAAAAATTTCTCCATTGAACACAAATAAATTTGGATCTAAGCATATTTTAAGTAGATTGGTGAATTCAATTAGTTCTAAATCTGATAAAGTAGAATTTGACAAAAAATAATTAATCAAAGACAAGACTTCTGGAATAGGGATGTTAGTAAAAAGGTTCGACACATCTAATGAAATTAGCATATCCGTCTCATTGATATGAGTATCCTTGATATTATCTATTAACACTAGGCTATTTTTTACTATGTGTGTAAAATGATCTTTATAATAACCTTTGAGTGAATCATTAAGCCATTTAGCTGTGAGGTAAGTTGGTGAATTCCCGAATGATACTACTGAGCGTATGGGCATATCTTTAAAATCATCTGATTTATGTATTTATAGAAGACCATATAAACGTGGTATTAACTTATGATCTGGTTTAAATCTGTTAAATAAAGACTCTGTTATCACACATGGCTACTACCTTCAACCTTAATTATTTTGTTATGATTTATATGTTTTATATAATTTTTGTGATCATGCTGTAGATTATTTTCTTGTATAATTATTTGTAAAATAGTAATATATTGATCTATTATGTCATTTCGTAAATATTCTCATAATAATTATTATATTTAGTTTTTAGAAAAATGTGATCCAAACAAGTTTTACTATTATTTCGAACTCAGTAGAAATGTAACCCTGTTCTTTTAAAATGATTACATAAGATTTCAGTTTTGACTAATAAATTAATGTTAATATCTCCAGTAAATAAGTGATATACTTCATTATTATCAGTTATTTGATCAAAATATTCCTGGAGAGATAATACAAAATCGTTCGCTTCTGATCCACAGGGTCTATAGCATGCCGTAATGGCGACAGATTTAAACCCTAATTTGATACGTGTTAAAATAGATTTGAAATTATTTATATTTATTATTTTATAATCATAATTGTAAGTTTCCCCTATGTATACCAAGACTCCATTATTCTGATTATAATTAAACCCGTTATAAACATGATGATAACCTGGAATTTTAAAAATATTGGGGTCCTTCAGTTGCCAAGTTTCGGTTAGTACTATGCAGTCAAAGTACAGTCCAGATTTTTTCCTACACTGGTAATGTTTGTGTTTATTAATGAAAAATGTTTGCTTTTATCGTTTAATTTTAGTAACTCTTTAGATTCATGCGTAGTTGTAAGATTAAAAGTTTCAATCTTTGCTACGTCAAAGTCCCTTATATATTTATCCATCCTTCACTCCTATTTGATGTTAGAATAAAATAATGTAATAGTACCCTAATTTTATTTGAAATTTTCCTAATATATTTTAAAACGATAACTACAAAGGAGAAAGAAAAACTAAACTAAACTAAACAACTATAAATTCCAAAATTAATTTTAATTTATAATAAATCAAATTAAACATAATTTAATATATCAAACCAAAATAAATCTAAATGTAATGAATCGCAATTTCGTGTACCAAAAGCTCGAAAGTATAAAACAGAAATAAATAGTACGTGGGCCGAGATCAAAATAACAAATAAAATTCACCTATATATTCGGCAACTAATAATTTAAAACATAAAAAGAAAATTTTATACATCGAATTTATTTAGGATTAAGATTTTGTTTTCTAAGAAGTCTATTTGTATTTCTCGAAGAACTGCCAATTGATGATGTGCTATTTTGTCTGCTACGATGAGATTCTCCAAGGCTACTAGGATTAGACGCCTCTAGTAAATCGTCAACTTCATAGGTAACTCCCTCAATAATCAGTTTGTTTCCTTTTATTTGTGACAAGCGGCCTTGTGAGCGTACTAATTTCTGGTGCTTGAAGATAATTTTCTTCGTTTCACAGTCCTCCTTAGTATAATCCAAAGATATAAAAATACCAGTGCCTTTTAATAGTTTCGCTTGACCAAGGATTTCGGATTTAAATTTAGATGTCAAACATTCAATAACAACAGGTTTAGGTTTATTAGTATTTCCTCCGGAGTTTAGTCTAAACGCATCGCGTAGATCCATTTCATCACAGTTGATATTCAGCTTTTGGCGAAATAGACTGACAACAGACTTCAGAATATCATCTCCATCTAAGTTATATATTACCGAGTTGAACTTTTTAGCTTTTTTCTCGCTAGCTATTAGGCGATTTTTTTAAATTTTTGATTTCTGATTGGAGCTCGTTGTTTTCTTTCTTTAGATCATCTAGTTTTTGTTATATTGTTAGTTTAAATGCACAAAACTCCCTGCTTAAACTATCTACTTTTGTACTCAACTGCTTGTTTTGTTTTTTATTTCATTAAACATTTGTAGAATATCTTTCTATGTTATTTCAGGCATTACTAAATATGTAAGCCCATGGACTTAATAAATTTATTGGTCAAATGGTTTTTGCTTCTTGATTGTTAAGATATGTTCAGTGGTTTTTTGGTTGTTCAGTTGTAAAATTTGTAAGATTAACGATTTGTGATATTGTATAATATTAGTTCCATAATATTCTTTTTCAATTAGGCCTGGAAGAACCTCGGTAAAGACGTTCAGGGCCAAGTTAGGGCACACTAAGTGTTCGGGGGGTCGTTTTCCACGTGAAATTCGGATTCAGCGCCCCAAAAACCCCCCGAAACGATTTTCGGTTCGTCTTTTTCAATTGTGTCTGGAAACCCCTCGGGGATGACGTTCAGGGCCCAAGTTCCGGTGCACCAGGTGTTCAGGGGGTCGTTTTCGACGTTAAATTTAGATTCAGCACCCCAAAAAACTCCGCTCAATCATTTTCGGGTTGTTGTTGTCGATATTGTGAGGAAATTTCTTGGAGATGACGTCCAGGTCGAGGTTTGGGCGCACCAGGTGTACGGGGGGTATTCGCCGATGCCATATTTGGATTCAGCGACCCAAAAAAACCCCGATCGCCTAGTTGCCCTCCTTCCCCGCGTGAATTTTGGGAGGGTCTCACGAAGAAGACGTTCGTCGACGTTAGTGAGCTCTAAGTCGGCTGTGAGTCAATTTAGACATCATAATCGTGATCAGCGACCTCGAAAATCCTCGAGAACCAGATCTGGGCTAGTTCTGACACTTATTTAACAAGTTTTGAAATCATCCAAGAGGCCTCCTAAATAATGCATTTTTTGAATGCATTTTTGGCTGCAGCAATGCAATTTCCGGTTTGTATGACCCGGAAATTACGGGGGAATGATACAAATAATTTTTGCAAGCGAATGCAAAAAACCGCATTCCGATCCGACTTGCCCGAAAAACCCAGGAATTTTTTGCTTCATTGCTTTGACTATTACTAAGTATTTGATCAGCCATCACATTAACATAAAGGATAGTAAATAATTGCTGTCTTTTATTTTAAGTTTAGTCGACAAAGATTCTATATAAAATGTATGTTTTATATTATCATAATATATTGATGCAGCACGTGTACCTATGTACACCCACTTATTTATTAATCAGTTAGAAAATATACAAACTGGCATTTTAACCTTGAACATCCAGGTGCATTATCTTTAATCGAAGGAATATATTCTCTTGATGTGGAAACAACGGATATAGTTTTCCCCAAATATTCAAAAATTTAATCCAGCAACGGCCTCAGGAGTTAGAAGACTAAAAACAAGTTTCCTGAAATATGCTAAGTAGATTATTTTATACCAACCATTAACACAGAACTAATCATTAAACTTTAAATTGATTAAACTATCTATTCGAATTTATTGAATGTCTTTGTTTACCATCTGCATCTTTCTAACTACAAGGATGGGATGAAAAATTTCCGGCCTAACATAGAACGCAACACAATAGTGACTGAAAAATAATTTATTTTTCTACATAGTCCCCTTTTGTAGAGTAATACATTTGACCCAACGATGTTCAAGCGATTTAATACCGTAACTGTAGTCTGATTTATTCAACTCGTCAAAATAGGCGTTTGTGGCTGCAATTCCTTCTAAACCCGTGGAAAAATTTTTGCCAGCAAGAATTTTTTTTAAGTTTGGAAACAAATAAAAGTCTGACGGGGCTAGGTCTGGCGAATACGCAGGATGGTTTAACAGTTCAAAGCCTAGCTGATGAATTTTAGCCATTACAAGAACGGACTTGTGGCAAGGTGCATTGTCATGATGAAACAAAATTTTCTTTTTTGCTAAACCAGGGCGTTTTTCGCTTATATTCTGCTTAAGCTGGTCCAGTAAGTCGCTGTAGTACTCGAAATTTATTGTTCTTCCCTTTTCGAGATAATATATTAGAAGTATCCCTTTAGCGTCCCAAAAGACCGTTGCCATGACCTTTCCAGCAGACGGTACTGCCTTTGCCTTCTTTGGAACTGATTCGTCCTTTGCAGTCCACTATTTGGACTGCTGTTTAGTTTCAGGGGTATAATGATAAACCCATGTTTCATCAACCGTAATAAATCTACGCAATAAGTCCCCTGGATCACGTCTAAACAGTGCCAAATTATCCTCTGAAATGGTTAGCCGCGTGAGCTTCTGATCTGACGTGTGCAAACGCGGCACCCATCGGGCGGATAGCTTTCTCATACCTAAAACAAAATATAGTAAACTCGTTCTTTTGATATGCTCACATCCTCAGCTACCTCTTCCAATTTTAATCTGCGATCTTTTAGAATGAGTTTGTGAACGGTTTGCACCATTTCTTCAGAAGTTGCCGTTTTTGGCCCGCCAGAACGCGAAACATCATCAGTGCTAGTACGATCACGTTTAAAGTTTGCTACCCAGGTTTTAACTGCGGTTTTATTTTCGTCAGCGATAATCTTTTGATATGGAAGTATTTTATCACCGCTCTTATCTCGTTTTTTTCCATCTTTTAAAAGGGGCGCACTTTATAAGCTTTTAAAATACCCAGGACACAAACTACTTTACGCACTCACTTTAAACTTCGAGCGTATACTGACAACACGCAAGGCTACACAGACACGTTGGAACAGAAAAGCAAATCGGGCCTACTATAGGTTAGGCCGGAAAATTTTCATCCCATCCTCGTATATAGGAGGTTTATTCAATTACGGTGGTGAATACGCTATACCTTAACCAGAAATATTGCCAAACCCTCTGATTTTTCAATTGGGATCTTTAAATTAGGCTCATAAACTATGAAATCACCACTTAGAAACCAAAAAATGTTGAGTTTTCATTCGGAGGCACTGATATTTTATTTTCAAAATTCCCATTTTTAAACATTTGGGAGAATCCCCGTAGTTTAAAATATAATATTCTTTACTGAAATTGAAATCCAGCTTCGGGCGCTCAAATTCAAGTAAATTATCTTGGCATTTTCGCAAATGTTAAAAGGAAATTTTTTTCAGTCCTCCGAATTGTAAAAATTGCCTACTCCCACTCCGAACCTCTCGTAAACCGAACTAGTCCGATCGTAAAATATAAAAAGTTTAAAGGTGAGATCCAGCGAATTCTATATCTTTTCAATTGCCGAATTTCCGAATTGGTATTAAGTAGTCCGTTACAGTAATACCGTCGTTTTTCATTTTCACCGTCTATGATAACTATGGAAAATATGAGGTAGGAATCTTTCACTATCAGCTTTTCTATTATGATTTATTTTGTTGTTCTCCTAATCAACCCTCGCTTGTTAAATATTAACTAAGAAATAATTTGCTATAGTCCGAGAAAATTAGTCCGAATTTTGTTCCGTTTTAGTATTTCTGAACTTTCGTCAGAGAGACCAGTCCAGTGTTATCGCAGTCTGGTTTTAACAACGGAACTTTTTAAAACCGAAAAAATAATTTCCCAATTTTGTATGGAATACCAGTTTGCTAGTTCTGAAGTTACGTAAGCGACTTAATTTCTCAATATTCAAAGTTCCCCGAGTCAGTAGACCCTTCAGTACTCTGGCAATCGGTGAAATCTTTAATTCACTACATACCGTCGATCACGAGATAACTTTCCCCCTTATGCGTCTCTGTGTCATCAACTGTATTAAATCGCATCCCTTTGTAAATAATCGGAGACCGACAATTAAAATAGGTGAATTTTAACATAGCTGAATTTTTGCAAGGTTTAAATTACAATGCAGAATAGATACACTAGCATACCTCAGAGAAAATACTGCAACGGAAAGTTTAAGTGGACAAGATCTGATGAGACAAGTAATTCTATCATCAATACTATAATGCTAGAAATATACTATAATGGTCCTTTTGTTTCGTCCACTAAGGACTAAATGATTTCTCAAGAGTAACAGTGTTTTGTTTTACCTAATAAACCAATCTGTTGTTTTAAAATCGATCTTTTTAACTCTGTAAAGTTATATGTAAGGTTACTTGGCAGATAAGCGAAGTATAGCCTACATCCTAATCAGCTTTTAATTACTTTTAATTTTATTCAGAGGTGAAAAGACTGCATAATCTCTTAAACTACAAAGAATTGTTCTGTGCTAGTTTATTACAGGAATATATTCCTATCTTGATAAGTTCATCTGATATTTCATTACTAGTATCTAAAGTTCATATTGACTTGAAACTTCAAGAAATTTGAGCTGCAAATATTTTAGTCTGTTTTTCGTAAATGATTAATTTTTCATTACAAATATTTTACAAAATAAAGCTCACGATTGAGGATAAATTTCAGTTCTTGCACCGTTCCTGGATTAGTTTAGTTAATATTTTGGTCTGCCAAATGAGGCGTGAATTTTCGACAAGATTTTAGATTTTATTTCAAAATGTTACAGAAATAGATAAAATGCGTGGAGGGAAACAAACATAAGACAAGCCCTATAAAATGAGAGTTAAGTATCAAGCTGGATGTTAGAAGAGTAGGTGAATTAGATTTAAGGTAAGTGAAATAATTCATAAAATATTAGTAAATAATTACTGATATACTCATTTAATTAGATAAACTCACCTGCTAAAATCTCTCAGACCATTCAACTTGTTAAACTTTGCATTTTCCATATTTCATAACAAAAACCTCTAATCATCAGCGCTGGAAAACAGTAACAAATCCTACACAGAACACACATAATTAAAAAGACAAAAAACACAAACTGAGACTGGCATATTAGGGATATACACCTAGGCCATAAAAGGTGATAGATAGACGGGAATTATTTAAGGAGAAGTAATATCCAACATCTTTTAACAAGCCTTAAGCACGGTTAACGGTTATTACTGATAGTGCACATTTTTGTTAATTTCGGAAAAATATAAAATAGAAAGCTTAAAATGCTGAGCTATTCTGGATATGAAAATGATTCCATTCCCAAGAAAGTTTAATATTTAAGACCTATTTTTAATAATAAAAGTTGCCTAGAATTCACAATAGGAAATGTACCAGAAATTCTCTGATACTTATTTTTCATAATAAAAGTGGCCTAGAACAAACAAGGAAAGTACCAGAAATTTTTAGAAGGTATGAGGAAAATCATGAGGCGTATACCCCAATATTTAAGGGATTTTTCAAAGAGATAAAACCTGGATATGCTATGTGAAGAATGGCAGGATGAATTTTCATAATGTTGCCAGTTTCTAACCATGATCTTCATTAGAAGGTACTAAATTGATAAGTATATTACCCAAAATTGAAGTTTATTTCACGAAAAATAAGTAAATTATTTATAAATTAGAAATATAGAACCAATACAATGAAACTATGTTTATTATATATCATTTTCATATACCAAAAAAAAATGGCAAAATTATTGAATTGTATTTTACATTTATTAGTAGGTATTTACAAAACTTGGATAAATGTAACATGTAATTTTCAAAGGTGAGTTTACTAATGTTGTAATATTGTATTAAATTTTTCATTAAATAATATTGAAAGTATTGGACTAGTATTGAGATACCACTATTTTTGAAACCTGCACAAAGTAGTTTTAAACTTTTTTTAAAAAATATAACTTATCTTTATAATAAAGATCCCAGATGGAATACGACAAGAAAAAATAGCAACGGAATATCGAAATAGTCTGCTCTGGTTGTCATGTCATATAAAAATGAAGATATAAACGTACAGTTGTATTTCCTGAGAGGATGATAAATATTGGTCTCGTGTGAGGAATTGATAATACAAGTGGTTTGATAAGATAGAAGTCGTTTGATAAGACATAAGTGCTTTGAAGTTAGGATACAGGATACAGTCACGGTCATATAATACGTATTTTATATGTGCATGTGGCACTACCATGATTATGATCATAAAATAGCTATACTAAGAGGGAAAAGTAATACTTTAATGCGTAAAGGAGCACAGGCAATCTGTTGAAAGCGTCAAAGAGCTCTTCGGTCAAAGTTCACACTAGATTTTTTCTACGATCACGTTATTATAAGAAATAGATATAAAAACTGAAACTTTGTCGTAACCAGTGTATAATGTATTGCCTATATATACCTTAATATTAAAAAGTCAATATTCAAAGTCAATGTAAATTTGGATAATAAACCAAAAATAACAAATTGAAAATCATTTATTACAAAAATATATAATAATGTAATAATATTATACCTAATTAAAATTAGCCGAGCAATAAAGCTTTGAATTTTATCTTGCTCTGAGCGACAAAGCTGTCATTTATTGTCAGTTCGCTGAAAACGTCAATTTTACGGTTGGATTTCGAAGCGCTAGAGCCTTTGCCGCTTGAGATAGAAAGTCGAAAGCGGCAATGAACTTTTCGCTCAAAATTCACACAAGATTTTTTTACGATCACACTTTTTTAAGAAATAGATATAAAAACTGTAATCGTAAGTAGTGTATAATGTGCGTATATCTACGTTAATCATGAAAAAAGCAGTTGATATTCAATGTCCATGTTAACTTGGATAATGTAACAAAAAAATGTAGCTAGGTACAAATATCTAGAAAATTATTTATTGAAAACAAATACTATTATAGTACAGGGGTCGGCATAAGTCAGGCAACAAATTTGTATAAAAAATATTTAGCGTCAAAATTAATTTATTCGAAGAAATTCCAAAGGGATATGAAAAAGGGTTAGTTTAAGTGTTCAAATTGATGCTTATCTTGATCAGTGCATTGACGGCAACGTTTCGCAATGGAGAGACAGGTCAGGCGAAGCATGTTAAGGTGTCCGCGAAGATTTTCAAATTCTTCTTAAATTGCAGTTCGGAACACGGGAAGGGTGCTTGGTCCTCTTGCAAAAACGCGGTCCTTCAGAAGGCCCCACATGAAGAATTTGCAAGGTGTCAGGTCACAGGACCGTACGGGCCACTCAAAGATTCCTCGTCTGCCTATCCATTCTCCAAAATGATCATTAAGGAACTCCCGCACACATAACGCGTAGTGCGGCGAAGCTTCATCCTGCATAAAATGAGGGATGTTCGCGAGTGTTGGATCGTTATCCATTTGCCCATGTAAATCTTCGATCATGCATTTCCAGATAACTTTGGCTAGACTTATGTCGATTTTTCGAGCGTTGTCAGACTTATGCCGACCCCTGTATACCTAATTTAAAATGTGCGAGCAACAAAGCTGCCACGTCAACTTTGCAGTTGGATTTCGAAGCGAAGAGGCCTTCTTTGGATAGTGATCGTAGAAAAAATATATTAAATAGATATTTTTGTTAATTAGTGTAAAATGTTATTACAAAATTGTCTTTCTTAAAATGATTATATTGTAAATGTATTTTATCGATTTATTCATGATACTCTTTTTTATTTACAGATGAATATTGTTAATATATTACTGTTCATAGTATTGAACTTTTACTGCATTGGATGCAATCCTTATTATTGGAATTTGATGGACAAACGAGATTCACCACCACCAAAGAAATATTGTGGCAAAAAACTTACGAACATGATTGCCTTAGTTTGCCAAAATCAATATTATGCTAGAGAAATGAGACGACCACGTAAGAAAAAATATATAAGAATTTAAAAATTTCAGTATTTTTTCAATTCAATTCAATAATACTTTTATTTCATACTGTCCGGAACCTCTTTTAAATTAAACACGTTTCAAATTCTTATATTTTATTAAATAATTATAACATAAACAAGATTATTTATTAATACTTATTGATAATAATAGTACTGGAGCGACCTGAAATTTTTATAAAAAGTACATTTGAATTATTAGTAGCAATGGAAGATAAGGATTGATCTTAACCTTGCTGCAGCACATGTTATGTTATGTTGAGAGTGGGGTGTTAATACATTGCGACCTAAAAGATCTATTGTGCCCCCTTCTGTCGCCAATGCACTAAAAAAATGTCTCAATGCCTATAACGACCCTTCCAATCCTATTTTCTTAAGGAAGTGTAGGATTTGAAGTGGCTTCAAGTTAGGTAAATCTCTCTCTTCTATTTGATATCCTTCTAGATATAGTGCCCTTTGATTCTGGAATGCTACAAATTCAGTTAGGATGTGAATGGAGATTTCGTCCTCCTCCTCACAGATTCTGCAGTCACTATCCTCTACTACTCTCAGTTTACTTAGGTGTCCTTCTAGTCGGCAATGCCCGGTAAGGATCCCTGTTACAATACGTAGCCTGTCCTTGCTCAGGCAGATGCAGGCTTTCGATCTTTTCTGAATATATTCTCCCAGAAATATTTTGGCCTGTCTCAGCCTCAAGAGATTGTTCCAATTATCGGATCTTCTACTGCCCAATTCGTTTTTAATCTCTCCTAATATTAAGTTACTACTGATACCGCAGAACGGTTCAGGTCCTACAAAGGGTGTTTGAGTCCCTTTCCTTGCAAGACTATCTGCAATCTCGTTACCCTGTACCCTGTTATGTCCTATGACCCAAGTGAGAGCAACTCTATTTTTCTCGCCTAGCTCATTCAATTGTTCTAGGCATCTCCAGGCCATTTTTGAGCTGATTACGTAAGGGCTCGGCGTTTTGACTATCGGAGATGATGATAATCTCTTGTCTATGATAGTTCCTGTCGATGTTAAACTGGATACACTTCCCTAGCTTTTGGAGTGCTTGGTTCTCGGCCCATACACTCTTATTCCCGTTCCTTCTATGGTTTTGAAACCGTCCGTATACCACTGAATAGCACGTCTTTGCTCCATTCTTTCTTGCAGCCGCAGCTCTGTGGTTTTGAAGTTTTTCACAAAACTGTACTTCTTTAGCATTTCATCCTGGGGCATCTCCCAGGTATCTTTAGTCCTGAAGCAAGTAGACTTACGTCTAATTACTGCGTTCCTGATTATTCTATATCGTGTCGTTTTTGTCACATTCTCTATCATCAAATGTAGAGGGGTGAGGTTTAAGATCACCTCCATTGCGGCCGTAAGACAAGTTCTCATTGCACCAGTAATACAAACACAGGCTAGTCTTTGTACTTTTGAGATATTGGCTCTCGTAGTAGCTAAACTAGTTCTATTACTCCAGGCTATAGCCCCGTAAGTGATGATTGGTCTCACTATTGCAGTATACATCCATCGCAGTATGTTTGTGTTACATCCCCATCGTTTACCTGCAATGTTTCTACATACCATTAGGGATTTTGTGGCCTTATTTACTACTTCCTTCTCATATGTGTTCCAGAGAAGTTTGTTGTTCAGGGTTGCAGCACATACATGTACAAATAATTCCCCTATATCATTCTAGATATTTTATTTTTTATTTCAATGGAATCTTCAACATAATTTTCAGCGAAAGCTGAGCTCTTCCAAAAAACAAACAATGAATTTTTTAACAAAATGACTATACAGATGGAGCATATTTATTTATTCATTTAAAAAATACAAACGAGACGAACCTAAGTATAGTATTTACTGCTGTGTATAGATAAAAAAAATGTTAAGCTATAAGTAAAAAGTTAATTATTCTAATTACAAAAAATGTGAAACAAATTTTACTAAATGTTATTTAAGTACAGTTTTTTCAATTTATTACAAAAACTAAAGAATTTATCATGAAATATTTCAATTTCAAGATGGTTACAAACTGAATTGAAAAACACCTATTCAGGGGAGAGTTTAGATAATAGTGTTACTAAAATTAGTCTAAAAAGTTTTAAAGTCTCTTATATTACAGGCTGGAAGATTAATATTAATAAGGCTGGTAGTCTCGATGGAATTAATAAGATTATTTACAATTTTATATAGAAATTTAATGTCATTTTTTTGACGTCTGTCTTCCAGGGAGTTTCGCCTGACTGATGCAATATTGTTTTTAGAAAACAATTTTTTGTTGCAGTAGTATATACATTTATTTTAAATATATACAAGATACTGGGATTCCAATTATTGATTCAAAAGTTAAAACACTATTTACATAAGCCATAAATAAAGTGAAGTTTTAAAATCATGACAAGTCTTGATAATAAAACCTAGCGCCTTGTTGGCTTTTTTTGTGATATAATTATTATGTTGCTCAAAAATAAGTTCTGAATCAAAATAAATGCCAAGGTCTTTTGTTTCCGAGACCTTTTTTATTAAGTGGTTTTCAATTAAATATTGGAAGACATATGACATCGTTTTCTAGAGAAAGTAGCATTTACTTAAGTTAAGGAAAAGAAAGTTTTGTTTACAATAAGTGACAAGTCTGTTTAGATCACTTTGTATCAGTTAAAAATTTGTAGCAGTTTTAATTGTGTAGTATATTTATAAATAATCTGCATACTTTTTATATGACAGTCACTACACAATAGCATATGCAGATGACCTGGTCATTCTGCAAACAGGGAATTTTGAGAACATACTCTGCGAAAGAATGCAAGTAGCTCTAAAAATTATAGAACAGTGGTGCAAGGACCATTCACTTTGTAACAGAAGTGAAGTACCTAGGTCTCACCTTTGACAGCAAGTTAACATGGAACTCGCATTTAGAAAACATAGTTAAAAGAGCATACATTACTTATGAACAATGCCGCCGAACCATGAGGCGCACCTGGGGTTTCTCCCCCAGAGTCGTCGCTTGGAGTTACACGGCTATCATAAGACCTATGCTAACATACGGTGCAGTTGTCTAGGTACCGAAAACCCAAAAATTAACAGCTATCGGTAAACTGGAACAAATTCAAAGAACAGCATGTCTCAACAAAACAGAAGCCATGAAAACAACACCGACTAGAGCCATGAAAGTAATTCTTAGTCTCACTCCCCTTGATATTTACATCAAGGAGGTTGCTCTGACGACAATGACATGCCTCCGCACGGTCGGAATGGAACCTGATGTAGGAACTGGTGAGGCGAGACGTTACTTTTGGCAGGAGGAGACAAATCGTTACAATAACAGTACGTCTTCTTATCGGACACTGTCGCCTAAGAAGGCACATAAGTGTCACCAATTCAAGAGAAGAAAAGCTAAACGCACGAAGCTACATGCAGAACCCACTGTCAAAGATACTAACTAGACGAGACATACTCTTAAAAAACCGAGTGCCACGATAGATCTGAAAAGGTCGCGGTAGACAAGGACAAATAATAACCAACTCCTTTGAAATCTAATCTAAATCTAATCTACTCACATGTGAATCTACTTTATACAAAAATATTAAATAACTGCAAAACTACTTATAAATAATAGTGCAGTGGCGTAGGCACGACCATTTAATATTATTATTAATAAAAGATTAACCCAAAGTCTTAACCACAATAGTTATATTTAAACAAGGTAAACTAGTTTCGGTCATACTTCACCACTTTTATGCTTGATAATGGTCAAATGTATCCGAAACTTATCTATGGTTATTTATAATTATTGTGTTTAATAATTTAAGTTTCATTCTTACGCTTAGTTTAAAGAAAGTCTATTTTTTATCATTTTCAGATAACATTGATATACCTAACTACGACAATGAATATCCCAACGGCATAGATGTAGATGACAAATACGACACCGAAACCTATTACCCATTTCTACAGAAATCATCCGGCTTGTCACTTCTACCTAATAAAGTTCGGCGGACAACGGGTATAGTAAACGAGTGTTGCGATAAACCATGTCTCATCGCAGAGATCCAGTCCTACTGCGCATAGAATATGAGCGTCACAGATCCTTTTATCATAGTTTTATTGTTGTTATTAATATTTTATTATTACACGAATAAAAGAATAAAGTTTTAATATTAATAGATTTTCTTCAGGCTTTTTTTTTACTACAAACCTAAAAAATCACTATCACGATACGGAAAGTGACTTTTTCCAAAAATGAGAAAATTACTTTTACAGTAAAATATTTTTTATTTCCACTTCCATAGAATGATTATAATAAATATTAAGTACAAAAATTTTACAATACAATAATAATGTTCTTACTTTATGTAATGATAATACAACAAATAACAGAATGAACAACTATAAACACGCTTCTTATTAATAAAGATGACATTTTATTAATTTCTTTGTTTTAAATCGTTAACAAAATAGCGAAGAATAAGGGGTTGCCTAACTTTAGTGGTTATATTATTATGATAAATAAAATGTATTTAAAATAAAAATAAACAATAGTACGTATTTGTTTAAATTTTTATATTTAAAAATATTTAGTAAGACCTTAGGAAATTATTGCGTCACTAGGAAAGAACTTTTAGCTATTGTCAAAGCCCTTGAACAATTCCATACTTACCTCTTAAACATAAGTTTTCTCATTAGAAGTGACCATAGCGCCTTGCAGTTGCTGATAAATGTTAAAAAACCTGAAGGAAAACAAGAAGCCGAGGTAAAATGCGGAGAGCCTTTCAAAAGAATTGCTATAGATATCCTCAAACCACTTCCCTTGCCAGAAGGGAAACAAATACTTAATGGTTGTTTGTTTTTGAAAGTGGTCCGAAATAGTGCCTATTCCTAATCAGGAAGCTACAACAGTAGCAGAAGCATTTGACGAACATTATACCGAGACATGCAATCCCTCTACATTCTGAACAAGGACGAAATTTTGAATCCGAATTATGGCACAAATTAATGAAATTGTTAGGCATCAGGAAAACATGCACTACGCGTCTCCACCCATAATCCGACAAAATAGTAAAAAGACACTATAGAAAATAGAAATATATATCAGTATCTTTCAATGTTCGTCTCTGAGAAACCAAAAGGACTGAGACACTTTAATTCCTTTATTTCTGCTAGCCTGCCTAAGTTCTGAACATGAATCCATCAGTTATCTATATCTATGATGAATACTGGAAGGGAGATGATGGTTCCCTATGATTTTCTTTTTAGAAGGCGGCCTCCTGATGAAGAAGAGGGCCGTATACCTCCTACGTACATACAGAACTTAAGAAAAAGGTCTACGGATTCGCTCGGGAACATTTGAAAGTCAGCAGATATAAAGCAGAAGCTAGAATCGACATGCATGTAACATGGACACATTTTGATAGAAACAACCCAGTGTGACTATACAATCTCAAGCACCGAAAAGGACTTTGTTAGAAACCGCAACGGAACTGGGAAAGCACCTGTACCATCCTCAACAACCTGATCTACCGCATTCAGTTGTTATCGGAAAGTAAACCCAAAGTAGTTTATACTAAAAAGTTAGCGCCATACCGTGGCAGATCCTCTACGTTGGCTTCAACCAGGTCCCAACAATCAAGTTATTCGGGACGAATAATTCGAGAAGAGGAATGTTATGGCGCCTTGCAGTGGCTGATAATTTAGGGATCAGTGTGTCCTTGATATGCAAAATAAGTTTAACATCGACCTTCAAGATCAGATTTTTGTAATAGGAAACAAGGTAATTGTCCTAAATTCGGAGAAGGAAGATGTAGAAGTATCCCAAAAATCACCACGACTCACATGTGAGCATTCTGGAAAGTGAGAATCTGTGATTAAAGGAATTATGGTATCTAGATGTCTCGTTAACGTAGGTAGATCAAATGATTTCAGTAAGGGTTGCCAATTTATCAAAAAAACCATTAAAACTAAAGAAAGAATAAAAAATAAGGCTCTGTACACCGGTAGATAACATAAGTGCGAAGACGGTTCTACGGGAAAAGCCACCACAAGTAACCCAGTTGATACCAGCATTGTAAAACGGCTAGATAAAAATTATTACCATCTGACAGCTAAAGAAAAATCTAAGAATTTACTAATATAAACTATGACATTTTCGAGACAGGAAAATCTACCAGTCTTGTCCAACATAGAATTTACACAGGACATTCAAGGCCAATAAGGCAAGTGTCTTATATGCTCTAAGAGGCAAGCACTTAGAGGACTCCCATTTGCTAAACAGAAAGAAGTAGCAAATATGATACAGGGCATGATGGATGCAAATATTACTGAAGAATCTTCTGACCTCTGGTGTTCACCTGTAGTCCTAGTAACTAAGAAAGGAAGATATACACGTTTCTGTATAGTCTATAGAAGATTAAATCAGCTATTTCAAAAAGACAGCTGTTCACTCCCCGAAAAGTCGATAAACTAAACACGGATACTGGCAAGTGGAAGTACACCCTGACGATAGGGGCAAAATAGCTTTTTTAACTGGCTATATTCCAATAAAATTAATATTGTCTTATGGAAATGTAAATATTAATAAATACATAAATAAATAAATAAATATGGCAACCCTGCGGCCTGCTGTCATTGACAGGATCAATGATACATATATAGTTGTATAGATTGCTAAAAGTGTGTCGTTTGCAAGCGGCTATATTGCCTGACAAGTGCTCAATAATCATTTTAGCAAAAATGTATTTTAAAACTAATTTTCAGCCTTTAGATATAGTAAAAATAAATATTTACCTACTATTTTACTTCAAGGTATAAGCTTGTGTTTATTTTGAAAAACGTGGATGAACAATCTATATAACTATCTATATCATTGACCCTGCCAAATCACCAGACCTAAGAGCATTGCTGTAAGCACCGGATCCACAAGGTTACCTTAAGGTTAGCATATCATAACCTATGAAAGTCCACTGGCAGCTCAACCTTAAAAGTCTAAGCTGGCAGCCATTTTGTTTCGAATGCCTAATATCTCGATGACATATTAGGCATTCCAAACTGAATGGCTACCAGTAGGTTATGATATGGCAAAATTATGGCAACCCTGTAGGCCTGGTGATTTGACAAGGCCAATGAAATAGATAGTTACATAGATTGATCATCCATATTTTTCAAAATAAACATAAGCTTATGCTTTAAAGTAAACATGTAAACAATTATTTTTTTTAAATATCTAAAGGCTAATAATTGGTTTTAAAACACATTTTCAAATTAATAAATATTTGCCAGGCAATATGGCCGCACGTAAACGACCAGCTTTGAGCAATCTATATAACTGTATATGTATCATTGACCCTGTTAATGACAACTTGACAACAGGGTTGCCATATCTAAACTGTCATTACCCACTGGTAGCCATTTGGACAGGTCGTTGGAATGCCTAATTGATTATGTCAAAAACTTTTGATGATTATCTAATACATTTGAGTAAAGTATTTGACAGATTACGAAATGCCAATCTAAAGCTTAATTAGAATTAATGTTCACTATTTCATTCAGAAGCTTATTATTTGGACACATCGTTTATTAAGAAGGAATCAAAACTGATCCGAAGAAAATTGCCGCTATCAAAGATTGACCTAAACTAAGAGATAAAAAAAAATTTGGAGTTTCCTTGGACTGTACTTATATTACCGAGAATTCGTCAAAGATTTTGGCCGAATTGCTAAACCCCATCATCGACTAACTAAAAACAGTAGTCTATTTGACTGGACACCGGATTGCCAAAAAAGCCTTCACTAAGTTGAAAAAGCGATTAACCACGGCACCCATCCTAGCCTACCATCAGGAAAAAAGACAATTAATTTTGGACTGTGACGCATCCCAACACGGCGTGAGTGCCGTGCTATCCCAAGAACCAAGAACAGGGGACAGAAGAAGATAAAGTAATTGCGTATTTTATTAAGACCTTGGAAAAAGGTAAGAAGAATTATTGCGTCACTAGGAAAGAACTTTTAGCTAGTTTTGGAATAGCTGTTTAAAATGGTGCTGTTCTTATCTTGTCTCCAATGCTTGAAAGAGAGACGAATAACTGGGTTCTTTTTGGGGAAGTAACTGTAAAACGGTTGCTGCCTGTCCCCGTAGCAATGCTATCAATGAAGCCGCCATTTCTTTCTAGGCCCAGAAATTGGCTCTAGTCGTAGCTCAAACGTGGGTGGCTTTCTAAGTCAGCCATTTCAGCTCTAATTTGCCTTTCCAACTCTACTCTATCCTGTTTTTATTGTTATAAATTAGCTTATAAATTTTCTTGCTGTTGGTCTAAATTAGATTTTAAATTTCCTTGTTATTGTTCTAAATTATCTACTTGAATGTTAAGTTAATCAACCTCTTTTTCCGGATTTCTAGCAAACCTTTTTAATTTTCGCTCCCTTTTTTTACGTCTCTCTTCCTTCTCTTTTTCCTCTTCCTTCCTACATCTTTTTTTCTCCTCTTATTCGTCCTTTCTGCTCCTTTTCTTCTCCTCCTCTTTGTCCTTTCTGTGTCTTTCCTCTTCCTCTAATTCTTCCTTTCTGTGCCTTTCCTTTTTCTCGTTTTCCTTCTTCCTGCGTTTTTTCTTTTCTTCTCGCTTTTCTCTCTCCTTTCTTCAAAAACCATGCTGGTGGGCCTGAAATATCCATATATATTTCATACGCAGTGGATTTAGTATTTACCCTGAATAGAATGCATCGGTAACTTTTATTACAAACTCAACTTTTACAATTCAACTTTACAACTGATAACATAAACTTAAAACGTCTATCATAAAGTAAAACTCTGACGTCAGGATCATCGACTTATATAACTCGTTTAAACCTTCTAGAACCTTCTCGAACCATCCAGATGTTCAGTTAGTTAATTAAAAGAATCATAGAAATTGGACAAGGTGGTAGAGAATTACCGCTAAACAAACATCAAAGATTAATAGTTTGAGGATTTTCTAATGGACCCAATTATTATATTTTGACCAAATTAATATCGGAGCACCCCTGAAGTACCTCCTTTCTAACAAATAAGAATCATTGAAATCGGACACCGTGTTAAATAATTATTGCTGAACTTACAACAAAAAAAAATAATACGACGAATTGAGAACCTCCTCCTTTTTTGAAGTCGGTTAAAAACTAACGCATACCGCAGTTAGGTAGTTGTTTCGTAAAATTTTACAAACAAGGAATCTACAGGTTAGTTCAAGAGTGGGACTAAATCCTAATGGAGACTTATTTTAAAATAATGAAATAAAAACTGTTTTTCAGCTTTTATACTTTCTTCTATTTAATAATCCTAGATTTTGATCCAAAAACAAGATCTTTGAAATTTAGATTTAAATAACATTTAGTTCATTATTTAGAATATAAGTAGAAGAATTGGAAAATCCAGTCTAAGCTAAACAGCCTCGTTATATCGACACCAGAGATATAACCATCCACATTTTTTTGTGGAAGATGTAGGTCTGAATACGAAAATTGTTCTAGAATATACTTTAAACACTACATTATGATCCTTTAAATTTAAAACTAATTTTTTCATATAAAATCAATAAAAATGAGTTTGTGAAGGTGTTAAAAATAGATGAGTTGGTATAATAAAAATCCATCGTCATAATATGTAATTAAAAAAAAATTAAATATTACAATGAAATTTTCAATTTATAGAAAATTATTTTTTAATACTGTTGTATATACAAGATGATTCACAGGCTTCAACAATATTACTCTGAATATTGAGTGTATCTCTCATTCTACGCCTTTAGAGGTCACTATTATTTTTTTACTGATTGTTTTGATAAAATTACTGACCACTTTACCCATATTAAACTACATTAAATTTTTATTAAATCCAGTCACCAAATATGAAATATTAGCAACCATAATTTCAGTTAAATTGGCTTATTAACATCTTTAAAAATGGCAGGATGTTTGTCAATATTAATGATGTTAACTCTGACTTACATAATTTGAACATAGGTGTTCCTCAAGGGTCTGTGACGGGATTATTATTTTTTTTACATTCACATGGATATTAGGTATGCCATTGCGTTCAATTGAACGAATAAATTTAATATTCATTATATCTAGTAAGAACACTACAAAAAAAAATTAAACTACCAATATGTTGATCACACAGCTACTATTTTTTTTTAATTTTAAATGAGGCAATTCTGTCAATTTTTATTTTTTATTTATTGATTTCTATATTTATTTCGCCTGTATTTACAAATCATAAATTTAAATAAAAATATATGAAATTAATTTAAATATGAGTAATAAAACTAAAATTTTAGAAGTATGGTGACGGAGCTGAGAGTAGCGTATTTAGCTGTCATGCGAGAAGCCCAGGATTCATATCTCTTTTTTTTTGAGTGAATTTTATTTTAATAATAATATTAATATAATATATTATAATCTTTATTCATGTGCAAATTGGTTACAGTGAGAGAATGAATAGGTGTATATAAAAAATAGGTATTATTTTTTTTAAATATTAATACATAAAATATTGCTAAAATATATCCTAAATTAAAATAATTAACAAAGGTAAATAAATACATTGAAAAAAGATAGAATACCGATAAGTGCTAAAACATTTGATTAAAGTGAGGAATACTAGCGGAGTTGCAGCTAAACGGTAGGTAATTAGTTTTTTTTCTACATTAACTGTTAGCAATTCTGATTGTAACCACTTTAGAATAAGGGTAAAATCCTGCTCCACTTTATTTTTCAAAGAATACCAGTCTTCATTATCGTAGTAGATGGTCGTGTCATCCGCAAATCCTATAATATTACCTTTGGTTTCTAATGAAAATATAAATATTAAAGAGCGTCGGTCCTAGTACCGACCCCTGTGGTACACGAGATTCTATTTGTTTTGGCACACCTATTTTAACAATCTGGAATCGGTTGCTTAAATAACTTTGGAATAAATTTAGGGTATTTCCTCTTAGTCCGATGTCGTGCAAGGATTGTAAAAGAAGTATAAATACACACAGACTTGGGCGAATAGAATTTAAAGATTCTGTAATTTTAGATGTTAGTGTTAATATAGCATCTTCAGTTGATCTTTGTTTCCTGAAACCATACTGATTATTGGATAGGATTTTATATTTAATTAAATAGACATCAAATCGTTTTTATATAATTTTTTTCAGAAATTTTGGATAAATTTGTTATTAATGATATCGGTCGATAATAAGAGGGTAAGTAACATCTTCTTTTTTATATAACGGAGTAACAACCGAATATTTAAAAGCGTTTGGGTAAACACCATAGAGTATACTCTTGTTTAATATGTACTTGAGTATTTCAATTATATAAGGTGTCGCTTTTTTAATCACTTCAGCCTTCAAATTATTTAAACCGACCCCTTTTTATTTTTTAGTTCACTAATAGCAAGTTTAATTTCAGATATATCGATGGGCTCGAAAATAAATGAATTTGACAAAGTATGTCTTTTAGGGCTAAAGGTTGGATCTTGTTTTATGGAATTTGCCAATTTTTTTCCAGTGTCGACGAAAATATTATTAAATTTATTAGCTATATCAATATTTTCAGTTAATATTTCGCCTGAACTTGCTTTCTTAAGTTTTTCTATAGTATGTTTATTTAATTTTATTTTACATATTTCTTTAATGACTTTCCAAAGATTTTTCGAACTATTTTTATTAGTAAAAGTCATAAATCATTTTTATCTTAATAACCTAAAATGATTTATCAAATTTGTAGATTGGGTAGTCGTAGAAAAAATATACTAGGAAATGCCTATTATATAAAAAAGTTGGTTTTAAAAACAAGTTGTTCTCAAAATACCTCTATTTTGAGTTCCTCCTGTTTCTTTTATCTCTTTTTATTGAAGAAGAAGAGGCAGAAGATGCGGCGGTATCAATTCGTGAAGCATATAATATTGAATAGGTTCGATCAAAATACACAACAAACTGTCGTTGATGACGTTGATGGCAATCTAGGTGTCGCCGAAAATATCAGCATCAAATTCGCGGACAGAGTGAGGAAAGCACGAAAACACTCATCAGTCAATATAATTTTTAATGCATCAATGATATCCACATTTCCTCAAGACAAATGTTTGTCAAACAGCAAGAATAAACATCTTCTGATATCGGTACTAAAGAGTAAGCCAACACTTTAAAGTACGTCTAGCTAAGGAAGATGTGGACTGGTTGATTGTTAAAACGGCGATTGAAGAGGTGTCAATACATACATCAGTAGTGATAATTGTTGGAGAGGACGTAGATTTATTGGTTCGTTTGATAGGACTGTGTAGGGCTTCATTTTTAAAGTGCCTCCATAATTTTTGTCCGTTTTCATTCTAGGAGAAAAAGTAAATGCTTTAGACATTCTATTTTTACATGTATTCAGCGGATGCAACACGCTATCTACTTTTTTTGGAAAAAATTACCATTATATTGATTATTATTTCCAATTTACTACCATTCCTCACAACAAACTCAGATCCGTACACCATTGCAAAACCAAGCAATCAGTTCCTACTTCGCTTGTATGATTGCAGTGCTAGAAATTCGAACTCTAAATGCGTTTATGCACAAAACCTTTATTATAACAATGTACAAAACAGCAAATATTACATCGCAAATTTGCCTCCTACTAAAGCCGTAGCTGAAAAGCGTTTATACCGCACATACCGTCAAGTCCAACTTTGGCAGGGGAACAAGTTAAAAGCTGAAGAATGGGACTGGAAAGGAACACACACAGGCTTATCTCTAGTCACTTCTTTCATATCTTCCGCTCCACGGTAGCTTTTTAAGCTCATGACTTGCAAATTCTAGAAAGTTTGCTAAGCAACATGCGGCAGCCGAAATATGTGCAGAGATGTTTGATGATATACTTACAATGCAACAGCACTTTGAAAATGAAAAAGAGGACCCTTATAAAATAAATTTAGATTTGAAAAGTAAGGAGCTGAACACAGGATAAGACTTACTGGAGCTATCCAGAAAAAAAGATCAGATCAGATCAGAAATTTGATAGGGCGAGTTAATTTTTTTCATTCTTCTTCTTTTTCCTCTCTATACTTCTAAATCTATTTCTGTCCTTCCCTCTTTTCATATCAGTCCATTTATCTCTCTCCTTACTTGTCTTAGACGTAAAAATGTGTTGAAAGTAACAAGTGTACAATACATAGTCAGTAGTCCAAGGCTGACTTTATTGTCTTATAAAAAATAAATTGATAGATTGGATATTTTTCATATCAGGGTGTTTTTGTTCGTGTTTCAGATGCTAATAGAAGTGATTCTAGTTCAGAAAGTGAGGCCCTAGATCAGCCATACTCAACCTGCCTGCAAGCATTTTTGTGGCCCGAAACACTATTATTAAAACTATAGGTTTCTGTTTTAATAACCTTGGAATTTTATGAGGTTACTGCAAAAACAAGATAGCTCCATTTTTGCAATTTTCGAGTCAAGTACACTTTCTACAAGTGTGAACGAAGTCTATATTCATGATAAACAGATAGCCAATAAAAACTAACTCCATATTAATAACTTAACCATATACACAAACGAGATGAAGTGGCATTTATAACAAAACAATCATAACATTGTGTTCAATTGCTAAGTGTGTCTACCAAAACCAGATAATAGGCATATAATTTATTTTTGCTAAATATATTTAGCTTGATTCCTAATAGTGTTTTTGCCAAGATAAGATAAAGTCCAGAACCGAGAGGAAACCACTAAGGTCAAAACGTACCTTTATTTCGGAAATCGCATAAAAACTTTTTATGTGATTTCGGTGATTTCACTGAAAATCCACCTTAATTTTATACGATGATCTTTTTTATCGGCATTTACGGTTTTGAGCAACGAATTGATTTCGACGATGATTTCTACCATGATTTTCAATGGTGATTCTGGAATTTTCGAGAAAATTGGTGGTAATTTAGGTGATTTCAAGTAAAAACGTACCAGTATTTCGGAAGATTTATCGCTACTTATTTTTGTTGAATGGGTTTGTTGAAATACTGCAATATTGTGCCCAAGCCATTTGTTTTGTTATGACCAAAGCCGTCAGTGGCATTTCTCGATTGTTTCGAAATCTACAAGATGTTTACGTCACCCTTTCTTTCAGCGAACCTTCAACAACCATTAGATATTAATACGTGATGTCCGAATCTCCGTGGTGAACGAGTGATTGGTCATGATGTAACGGGTGTTTGGTCAAGCTGTGAAATTCGTAAATAAAATTATTAGTGGTAACAAGTGAATTTTAATTTTAACCATACTTTTTAATAGACAACTTGTATCGAAAAATCATAACATATACTCTATACTTTATAAAATATTTGTTACATTTTTTTTTTTTTAATATATTATGAATAGATATATTTTTTCTATTTTTTTTTTGTAAAACTTTTCAATTAAATAACAATTGTGACGTTGATTTCATTGTAATTTATTATAAAATAATATTTACTCCCAAAGCTTTGGAATTTAATATGAAGTAAATAGACCTTAACGCTCTGCGTTAAAAGACCATAGGCAAGTAGATGTACTAAAAAGACGGTATCGAGTAAAAAGGGCAAAACGAAGTACTTTCTATTATTGGTACATTATGTAAGTAAAAATAATATTAATATCTAATATTTAAACGTAATACCTTTCAATTTGTGTGTGGCTGAAAGACTAATGTCCATTGCCAATAAAGCGGAAAAAAGTACTTTCTAAACGTAGCACTTGTAGTTTTTCTATACCTTAGAAAAATACAAGTTATAAAAAAAGAGTTTGGTATACTATTTTTCCAAGTTTAATCACCGGCACGCAAAAATTGTTTGTACATCAGACACGACCTACCTACTGGCATGTATTTTGACCCGCTGAATCCGAATTTCAAGTCAGTTTGGGCCGTACACCCTTCAATATCGAGTAAATTGTAAAAATAATAAAAATAAGATAATTAGTATTAAAAAAAATTTATGAATCAAAACCAAGCATAATTCTTATGTATTTCGATCCGCTGAATACTGCGGAGGTCATTTGAGAACAAAAAAGTTTGATACCAACAAAAAACAGTTCAAAATCAGAGAAACTCTTTCGCCTCATTCAGTTCATACAGTGAGCATTATAAGTCTTACCTCCCCTAACTAACTCGTTATTTGGGTCTTGTTAGGAAAATCGCCGAGACAGGTCGATTTTTGATTTCTACAATGTACATTTTTGCATGATTAGTTTACCCTTAATGTCATCCCTTACTGAAGGATAGCAACCCTTTCGAAAAATTTAAATGGCATGGGGTAGTGAGTGATAGCTCATTTGAAAGGGGGTTTTATTCTCTATGCAACCGTGCAAAAAATTTTGAAATTTGCTTCATTACGTGTTGATTTATTAGTGTTTGAAAATAACAAAACTCACAAAATAGGAAAGCAACTAGACTAACAGTGACCTTCTAATGGCAAAAAATCTTACTTCACGTCTGAACCAAAACTGAAATCATGCAGGGCCGAATTTTAATTCTAAGGATGAGTGCGCTACGTTAATTTCCGCTATTCTGAAACAACAATTAGTCGAGAATTAATGAAGCAAATTAAAATTTTTTTTACACGGTTGAATAGAGAATAAAACTCTCTTTCAAATGAGCTATCACTCACCACCCCATGCCATTTAAATTTTTCGAAAAGGTTGCTCCCCTCCAGTAAGGGATGAAATTAAGGGTAAACTATTCATACAAAAATGTACATTGTAGAAATCAAAAATAGATGTGTCTCGGCGATTTTCCTAACAAGACTCCGGTAACGAGTTAGATAGGGGGGGGTAAAACTTATGGCGCTCACTGTACATCAGTTTTTAGAGATATTGCAAGGGTGGATTTTGAAGGATGGACCGCCCAAACTGACTTGAAATTCCGATTCAGCGGGTCAAAATACATGCTGGTAGGTAGGTCGTGTCTGATGTACAAACAACTTTTTATTTTTTTGTGTGCCGGTATAATCACTATAATATTCACTGCGTATATTAAACTATGAATAAAATTTCCTTTATTGAAATAAAAAATGTTATGTTATTGGAAGCTTTTACATCTTTTAAAATATATAGTGAAACAATCGTTTTTGTTCCTCCTTTAAATTTGTATAGAAAAACTATTCATTTCTAAATCCAATTTTCCCGCTATTTGTGACTGGATAAACACAGCAGTAAGAGGCGTTAAAAAAAGAAGAAAATTGACTAGTGCGCCATCAATACTGGTTGCGATTACAATCGCCTAAACTACTTTTGCCAAACAAACAAAATACATTGAGTTACACGTCTCGCTGGATTGTCTCTGGTAATACCTACTATTTGAAAAAGCTACTGATCCCAAAAAAATTTTGATATTTTAAAAACAAATTATTCGACATCAACAATTTTTTTTTATTTAAATTAAAAATATAACCTAAATTGCCCTGTATTTTATTTTCATTCAGTAAAGGTATTTTGTTTATTATTTTTACTTAAAGACCAAAATTTTGCTTTGAGTATATTTATAAATTTATCTTCAATTTATTACCTTCCACAATACAATCAATACAATTTGTTTTGGTGTTAAAAAAATATTTAAAATGAAATTTATCGTATTTTTTGTTATTGCACTCTTTTTAGTTGCATACAGTAACGTGAATGCAGTGGAGGTGCCGGATTTTGGAGTAAGACATTAACTATAATTATATACACAATAAGAATAACAATAATATCACGCCATCTCTGCAATATATAATTTTTTATTGAAAATTTAAAAAATGAAGAGACTAGTTTAGACCATTATAGCCATTCTCAGTCATATACATAAAAGTGTTTTTATAATACAATTAGTAAAATTTTTTCTGTGTGTTCCATAACTCCATGATTCTTTTCTTAAACTACTCCTAAGTTTCTACTCTCGTTATTGTACTCAGATAAGGCAATGACTGGTCCCAAACCCTTATGTGGAGTTGCTAGGGCATTGTGCAAGGCATCCATCAAACAATAAATGCAAAAAGAGTCTCAGGAATGGTGAAATAACTATCCAAGACTGAGAGAGGCCAAACAGTTCATTAAGAAGCCATCGGCCAAGTTCACAAAAGACCTACTACATTAAAAACATCAAATCGTTAGGATAACAGTAGGTCTTCTCTCCGGACACT